AAAACCTTGTAGGAATGTGCAGTAATAATGCGCTCAGGGGCTAATTTCAAGATTTCTCCAAATTCATATATGACTGGAGCTATAGTCCAAGCTAATCATGTCACAGTGTTTTATACTATATGCAGTGACATAAGAGAATCGCCACTGATATATCTATTCTCAGCTTCTCATTTTCCAAGGTTCTTTGACTCTAATGTCAGGTATATATGAACAACTAGAATTCCTTCTGAAACAAAACCTGTCATCAGAGAATTACAGTCCTGCCATTGCTGTTCCTATTAGGAGATTCCATGTTACTTGCTGGTTGTGCTGACCCTCTGATTTTACTGTATTCTGAGTAACTGACCTGGAACAAGAATAAAGGATAAGGAGTTCATACTTAAAGGAGAACTCCAGATTTTTTAAAAAAATTAACCCTTGCAATGGGGCTACCCGTGCACTGCAAGGATTAACTGCTTGTTTAAGTATAGGAGCGAAAATAAAGAAGATATACTCACTCGATACTTGGTCCCATCTGGCTGCTACACTGGTCCCTGCAGCCTCTTCTCCCCCGATCTCTGGCGGTCTAAGGACCCGTAACGTCATCATGTCTATACAGGTCTAATAGGCGTGAAGACGCCGAGAAACAAACCACAGCCAGAGCAGAGGGGAAGATAGGTGAGCGGTTACTACCACAGGACTGAGCATCAGATGAGTATATCTTCATTAGTTTTGCTCCTAGACCTAAACAAGCAGTTAACCTTTGCAGGGGGGGAGGGGGGGTAGCTCTTTTTTATTTTTCTAAAAGCTGGAGCTCTTCTTTAAATTGCTGCACATTTGTTCAGGGTCAGTGGCTCAGGAAATATTGTTGCCGAAGACAGCCAGACAACTAGAATTTTCAGAAAGAGGCCAGCCATGGCAGCCTCTATATTACTTAAGTACCAGGTTTCATTTCTATTTTGGGACACACTTTTCCTTAAAGTGCACCTGCACCCAGACTGTGCTCATTAAAGGATTTACAAATTCTGAGCAAGCAGTAAAAACAATTTAAAACAAGCCATCACGGACCTTTGTAGCTATAAACATTGTAGAGAAATGAATCTTCAATATTCACAACAGAAGCACTGAATTCCCAGCACTTCTCCCCTTATTTCCCATGGCAACAGGGACTTCACAGCCTGCCAGCCTTTTTAAAAAACACCTATGATCTTTGAGGATGAATTACTTCACAGTACATGCAGCTAAGAAGGTCAGTGATGTCAAGTTTTAGGGCCGGTTCACACCACAAATAGTGCGTTCCAGAGCGTTCAGCCAGCTGCGTTCAGGGGCGGGACCCGCAGTGCGATCTCCGACACCCAAACACATGGCACATTAGTGCCTGCTTTCCGGTCCAGTGAGATCAGCAAAAATAGTGCATACAGCAATTTTGCAGATCGCACTGGACCAGAACGATAGGTGGTGAGATCAATCATTTTGGATGGGGTAGAGTTTTGTGAAGATAGACTTTTATACCAACCTTGTATAACATAATTTCCAAATAACTTCTAAATTTCTTTCTCTAAAAGCCCGATAAGTGCGGTTTTGTAAATGCCAGTCTAACTTTGTGTGTATTTAAAGCCGTGTAGGAATGTGCAGTAATAATGCACTCAGGGGCTAATTTCAAGATTTCTCCAAATTCATATATGACTGGAGCTATAGTCCAAGCTAATCATGTCACAGTGTTTTATACTATATGCAGTGACATAAGAGAATCGCCACTGATATATCTATTCTCAGCTTCTCATTTTCCAAGGTTCTTTGACTCTAATGTCAGGTATATATGAACAACTAGAATTCCTTCTGAAACAAAACCTGTCATCAGAGAATTACAGTCCTGCCATTGCTGTTCCTATTAGGAGATTCCATGTTACTTGCTGGTTGTGCTGACCCTCTGATTTTACTGTATTCTGAGTAACTGACCTGGAACAAGAATAAAGGATAAGGAGTTCATACTTAAAGGAGAACTCCAGATTTTTTAAAAAAATTAACCCTTGCAATGGGGCTACCCGTGCACTGCAAGGATTAACTGCTTGTTTAAGTATAGGAGCGAAAATAAAGAAGATATACTCACTCGATACTTGGTCCCATCTGGCTGCTACACTGGTCCCTGCAGCCTCTTCTCCCCCGATCTCTGGCGGTCTAAGGACCCGTAACGTCATCATGTCTATACAGGTCTAATAGGCGTGAAGACGCCGAGAAACAAACCACAGCCAGAGCAGAGGGGAAGATAGGTGAGCGGTTACTACCACAGGACTGAGCATCAGATGAGTATATCTTCATTAGTTTTGCTCCTAGACCTAAACAAGCAGTTAACCTTTGCAGGGGGGGAGGGGGGGTAGCTCTTTTTTATTTTTCTAAAAGCTGGAGCTCTTCTTTAAATTGCTGCACATTTGTTCAGGGTCAGTGGCTCAGGAAATATTGTTGCCGAAGACAGCCAGACAACTAGAATTTTCAGAAAGAGGCCAGCCATGGCAGCCTCTATATTACTTAAGTACCAGGTTTCATTTCTATTTTGGGACACACTTTTCCTTAAAGTGCACCTGCACCCAGACTGTGCTCATTAAAGGATTTACAAATTCTGAGCAAGCAGTAAAAACAATTTAAAACAAGCCATCACGGACCTTTGTAGCTATAAACATTGTAGAGAAATGAATCTTCAATATTCACAACAGAAGCACTGAATTCCCAGCACTTCTCCCCTTATTTCCCATGGCAACAGGGACTTCACAGCCTGCCAGCCTTTTTAAAAAACACCTATGATCTTTGAGGATGAATTACTTCACAGTACATGCAGCTAAGAAGGTCAGTGATGTCAAGTTTTAGGGCCGGTTCACACCACAAATAGTGCGTTCCAGAGCGTTCAGCCAGCTGCGTTCAGGGGCGGGACCCGCAGTGCGATCTCCGACACCCAAACACATGGCACATTAGTGCCTGCTTTCCGGTCCAGTGAGATCAGCAAAAATAGTGCATACAGCAATTTTGCAGATCGCACTGGACCAGAACGCAGGCACTTATGTGCCATGATCTCAGGTGTCGCTGATCACACTGCGGGCGGGGGGCTTGGCTGCGGTGCCATTGACTTCAATGCACTGTCACTCCCCCTCTCGCCCCTGAACGCGGGGAGGCCGAGCGCTCTGGAATGCACTCTTATGGCTTTTTTTTGTAGTTATTACACCTTATTTTATGTTTCAGTTCTCTTGTCTAATTATGACACCTCATTTTGTGTTTCAGTCCTCCATTGGCGGTTTGCTGGCTTATGAAGTCTGACTGCGTGTCTTTGGATGGAGAAGACTGTCACCCAGTGGTGATAAATGGCACCACCTATAATATAAAACATATATTCAAATCAGCGGGGCGTTACTGCTTGAGTGTAAAAGCCCAGAATGAAATCAGTATGCTGCTAACTCATAACATCATCACTGTAAATTCCACAGGTAAGCCATGAGTTAATGAGATTTATTATTACTGAGACAGATTTTGCAACATTAAAAAAATGCTGAAGTACCTATAGGCTTCATCAATAGACACATGCAAAAGCAATGATGAGAGTTCAGTTAGCTGCAATCAGGAAAGGTGAAATTAGATTAGCAGCTAGAGGTTATTTCACTTTGCATATTGCTCCTTGCCGTACAGTGTAAATCCTATGGAAAATAAAAAAATGCTGAAAACAGTGTCACCATAAATTATATATCACCAGCACAAGTATTGGATTATTGTATATATGTCAGCAGTTTAATAAATTCAGTATCTGCAGTACATGTGTCGTAGGGGTCAACTGATATCGTTTTTTGAGAACCAATACCGATACTGATTATGGGCCACCTTTCCACCGATATCAAGTGCCGGTACTCTGTTTACATCTGGCTGTGGAATCTTGCACCGGCAGATGAACACATAGCCCGGTGGCTAGACCCACCTCCGCCACAATGCAAAGCCACAAAGGCTTTACATTGTGGATTTCAGCAGTGTATTTAGCTGTTAGCCTGGAGTCCTACTTAATGGATAACTTATAGTGAAGTTGTCTTTTAAAGGTTTTCCCCAGGACCTCAGTGTCATCCATATAGCTAAAGACCTAAAGGAGAACTATGGGTTTGTTCTTCCCCATAGTTCTCCTCAGGGTCACGGGAGGACATAAACTAGCGTCCTCCCGTGACCCAAAGTTCATTATATCGCAAACTACAGCTCGCGGTATTCTGAGACCACCGCAGCTGGGACGGATCGCGACATTACTGTAGAGATCCACCCAGCTGCGTGATTAACAGCTGGCTCTGCCTATCTAGAGGCCGAGCCAGCTTTACCCGCCCCCTCCCCCGTTTGTTCCTCCAGTCAGCGCTGCAGGATCGAAGCGAGGAGGGGGCGGATCCCTGCAGGGAGCGGTGACTGGCAGTCACGGCTCTCTGCAGGGACAGGATCGAGAAGTGGGCGAGCGATGGTATGTGTTCCCTCACTTCCCGATCTATTGAGCCGACATGTGACAGTTTCATTGTCACACGTCGGCTTGCACTATGAGGTTGAGTGAAAATCACTCACTTCATAGTTCTCCTTTAAATACTAAATACTGGTACAGATATCTTCACTGTGTGGCCCTCCCCAGCCCTACACAGCCTTTGCAAGAAAAAGGTCCCAACACATGCATGCTGTATCTCATTAATTCCTATGGCTAGTCCTTACTCCTCTGGATGACTGGGACGGCTGTGGGCACCCAGCATCCTTATGAATTGATCGAGCAAGCAACATGTGCAGGGCGTGGACGGGACTTTTTTTTCTACAAAGGCTGTGTGGTGCCAAGCAGTGCCATCCAGTAAAGATCTCCAAGTCTGAAAGCAAGTATTTAGTTGTGTGGGTGATAATAACGGGGGTATATGAAAGCTTTAAAGGACAAATTTACTAAAAGCAGCACTGGAGAGCAGCACTGAGGAGAGAACCACTGTAGCCACCAAAGCATGTCTTGTCTCATCCTCAGCTATAGCCACCATAGTCAGTGGCACAGATCCTTTTCTTTCCTTCAGCAGTTCATTTTTTTAATAGGCAGGGCCTGATGCAGAAAAATCATGGATAGATTGTTTTTCTACTGACTTTCTGTATATTACATGAGAAGATTTTTTTCTTAAAGTATATCTAAATCCAAGAACAAAAATATAATAATATTGCAGTTTACCAATCCTTAGATGTAGTGGCAGCAATTGTTTTTTCTTTATTTTCAGACTAAACACATTTTAGGCAAGTACAGAAAATTACCTGTCGATCTTGTCAGAAATCCAGTGTCCTTTTAACTTCCTGTGCACTGAACTGAAATCTCAAACATTGTTATCAGCTTTCCCAGCTAGCTTCTGCAATCTACAAAACACCACCTCCTTATGTAATTAAGATGAGGAGAGGAGTGTTTGTACCCTGAATCAGGGGAGCAGACTAAGTTGACAATACTGCTCCTCCATAGATACAGTGCAGTGAGTCAGTGTTACCACCCTAGGACAGGAGGTGTGTTAATGGCTCACCAGGTGAAAGTAAGGAAAAAAAAAAACTAATGCAGCCACCACATCTAAAGACTGGTAAGCTGCAGTATATGGGTCATTTTCTTAGCCATAAGTTTTTTTTCCCATATTTTTTTAATAAAAAAGCCACTGAAAGAATTAATTTATTATTAATAATTTTTTTACCAGCACCTCCAAAGCTCCCTTTCCTGCTTCCTAAGTGGGCACTTCTGTATTTCAATAGCAGCAATCTTTGTGAATTCACTTTTACGCAAAAAAAAAAATCTAATCAGTAAAATTAGCAAATAATTGATAGTATACAGTAAAAATGTTGTTCCATTGCTCAGTAACTTTCATCTCTTGTGTGTACCATCAGCACTACTCAGCAATATGCGAGTTAGCATCCAACTGTGTTGTGCTGCACATCATAGAGAACTATCCAATAAACTCAAAGACCACTAACATATATAAAGCCTGCACCGGCATGTCATGTTACAATGTTTGTTGTCTGTAGTTTATGTCAAATTTGCAAAATGTCATTGGGGAATGGGGAGAAGACACTATGCCCCTGATTATGCTATAATGGTCTGGTTGTGTTGGGTCTTTACCTTCATGGTAGCATATTCTGTCAGGGCACAGTACTTTGCTCATATATATGATAGCAGTCTCTTTTTATGCACTCACACAGGTGTGCACCCACTTTGGTTTGTCCTTCCTTGCTGTGCATTATTTGCTGTTGCTGTTGGTTACATCTTCTACACCCTATTCAAAGCTACAAGCCACAACACACAGCCAAAGACCTTGGTGGAGGTAAGTCATTGATTAGAGTGCAGCACACACCAATCCACTTAACTTGCCTTGTGCTAGGACTATCCGCTTGTTTGTATGTGTTGGACATACACACTCTCGCTTTCAAAAAAATACCTCCAAAATACCATTGTCAAAAGGTATGCTTTAAAAAGAACTTCTAATATTGGCAAGCACCAGGGCTGTTGTGATAGAGGGGGCTTTAGTTTAGCATGCCTCCTTAACTGGGTGAACATGTGGGTCAGCAGCTGAAGAAGGGCCCACTTTATGCTATTGGTCCTCCCAAACCTGGTAATTGGTGTAAAGAGATATGGCATGGGAAAGGAGCAGTCATAGAAAGCCAGACACTAGGGCTGCCATCAGGGGCGTAACTAGAAATCACAGGGCCCCATAGCAAAGTTTTGCATGCCCCCCCCCCAGTGATTGCACCACACTTGAACGCAGGGCAATGTATTACCATGCGTTCTGGTGCAGCGGATGACGTGAATGGCACTGCCACATCTGAACAAACCGGATCTGAACAAACCGGTGGCGGTTCATTTCGCCAATCTTCGACACCAGACCCACGAGCTACTTGGGATGGTCATAGAACATGTGGCAACACCACATAGGGGTGGGAACCATGATAGGTATCTTCTCCAACGAGAAGCCTACTGGATCCACACATTGGACACCACCATTCCCAGCGGCCTCAACACGAACCTCATGCTGACGTGCTTCTTACCAGACCGCTAACGCAGTTTTATCAGGGCATTGCGCACCATACGGTTGAATATGTTTTTCTCTAAACCTTTTTCGTCCTCTCCCCCTTGGGTGGCCCTAACGCCACAGCTAGGATCAGAGGACTTAGCACTCACGATTACAATGGTGTTTTATCTTTTTTCCTTTTTTTCCTTTGATCCGACCTATTTCCCCGCTGATATGATACTCCGCTTCTTATGATGCACCACATACGTGCCCAGGTGCCCCGTCCCATGGGATCACATATGTGTCAGATGATGCTCTTGAATGCACACTTATTGCATATAAGTTTACCATGCATGTGTCATGCTTTGCATATCTATTGCTTAAAATTAACATGGGTCACGCGCTGTCGTGAAGATAATGATGCTCTGTATTGCTTATTTATTGCTTATAGTTTACCATGCATATGTCAGGCGCTGCCTTAAATATGATGATGCTCTTGAATGCACATTTACCATGCATGTGTCACGCACTGTCATGAAGAAAATGATGCTCTTTATTACATATTTACTGCTCACAGTTCACCATGCATGTATCATGTGATGCACACTTAGTGCTTATAAGTTTATCTTGCATGTGTCATGCGCTGCCCTGAATATGATGCTCTTTACTGCATGTTTATCTCTTATAGCGTTCCATGCATGTGTCATGCGCTGTCCTGAAAATGAAGATGCCCCTGCTCTTTTATTTTATTATTTTGTATTTTATTATGGCTCCGATCAGGAGAAGTGTTGGCGTCTGTTGACATATCCCTGTGACATTGGCCCCTAAATGGAGTTGAGCTGCTGGACTGCGTCCATGTACTCACATGCCACCTATGTGCACCGGCCATCCCTAGCTTTGCCCACAGTCGTATGCCATAGACTTTCCCAGTGCCTTAGCTCCTGTCGCGAGCCGCACTGCACATAGAAAGTGGATAATGGCAGCTGTTACAGCAGCGTCCCGCCGCACTAATGACACATCCCCATGAGCGCCGATCATTCCCCTACACACAGGGCGAGAGGATACCCCCGGCAGCGGCCGTGACAGCAGCGTCCCGCCGCTGCCATGACAACGGATGACACGATCGGTGCCGGCCTATCACTACAGGGCACATACCCAAAGGCAACCTAGGGGTGCTGCCTGAGTGTGATGAGCACTTGCTCTCCGGCTGGCCACGCCCCCTGATTCCGTCCTGTGTCCCTGTAACAGCAGCCCTGCAGCCGTTACACAGACACACAGCCCTAGCAGCAGCACGGTTCAATTCTTCTCTCCATAGACACGGCACCACCCAGACTTAGCAGCATTGACATGACACAACTCACGAACTATGTTTTGAGCAACCTTTCTATGCATACAGTAACACTGTATTTTGAATTGTGGCGTGAAATGACGTCATAGGATCACTTTTGGGCAGTGGTATGTTCACGCTGGAAGTAAGGAGATTAAGGGGGGACATGATTTTCATGTACAAAATGTTCCATAGTCATAGCGACATTAGCAACAAACTCTTCAAGATTAATTCCGTAACAAAGACTAGAGGCCACCACCTGAAACTGGTAGAAAAAAAATTCAAACACAAGGGGCGAAGGGGGTTCTTCTCAGTTCGCGCGGTTAGGGTTTGGAACTCACTGCCACAAGCAGTGATTTCAGCTAATAGTGTGGACTCATTCAAGAAGCATTTGGACGATTTCCTGAGAAGCGGTAATATACAGGGGTACAAGTACTCCTAATAACGAGATGACACAGGGACCCATACACACACACACACACACACACACACAATAGGTTGGACTTGATGGACATATGTCTTTATTCAACCTCAAATACTATGTAACTATGTAACTATGTATTGGTCTCCTCACATACAAGGATGTGTATAAATACTTGTCCATATCTGTTTGTAATTTTCACTTGTTCTGCCTGATGAAGGGGATCCTGTGTGACCCCGAAACGTTGCAATAAGTGTATTGTTGCATGACACGTCAATAAAAGACGTTATTCTACTTTGGAGTGCCGGTTTCCATAACTTTTTATACTCGGCTCAGAGGGTAGCCATCCGTCGACTACCGATTCACCCAACCTATTTATCAAGGATTTAGCGGTAAGGAGTGCAATGGGTACACGGACTAGCATTGAAGTAAATGGCACGCAGCCATTGTTGCTGTATAGTGCTGTGATAAGAATCTATTACCTTGGCTCCTTTGACTTTGCGGAAATGAGTCACAGTTGCTTGTGAATTGTCCACCCAACATATTTCCTTGCATTGGCATGAGTCAACACATAGAAAAACCAATGAATAGCAGGAATAACATTAAATTGGCTACAAAAGGCTGATCTTACAAACCAATTGAAGGTAATTAAAGGTGTGATGTATCATTTGAATTCTAGCTGTTTTCTCCATCTTTTGTTCGGCTGACCAGAAGTGCCCTATTGGCTTTTTGGGATGTGTTGCTGCGCATTAAGAATATCCTGCCTTAGCTGCTAATTACAAATGATGTGTCCTGATATTTTTTGGCTGCAGCTAAACGCGGAGGTACAATACAACACCGCTCTGAGGCTGGTGTTGCAGGGAGATGAATGTGGATGACTGTTCACAGTAGCAGAAAGCAATTTACACTCATGGTGTGATGTTCAGAAAAGACAGCCATGACAGAATCTGAACCTTATTAGAAGAACAGACTTGTATGTACGCAGAGAAAGCTGCAGGTATGAAAACAAATTGGAATGACGTAGGTTGGTGATGGATCAAAACACTACAAAGAAAACGACAGATGAAAGGCAAGCCGAGGGAATGTGGTATCATCTGTACTCTTGATACTAGAATGGGGTCTTTTGTTTGTGTAAAAAAATGCAAACCTGACAAATAAAGAGGGATTAAATCAAACATCTTTATTGGTGAAAAAGATTATTGTAATATGTAGAAAGAAACCATGTGTTGAGCAAGCCATACTAGGCTTCAAGACTTTCTGCAGACCATTCTGACATACCATGGTGTGAATTTTAATAGGCAGAATGCCTTATTTTTGCTTGTTTTGCTAATTTATTATGAGCTGAGGACCTAAATGAAGCCTGTTTTGAGACAAAAATGGTAGCTGCAGTTTCTGACTTGCTTTTGAAGGTTCTGGTTGCCTGTTATTTTAACCCACCGGCTTTCTAAACTAAAACAAGTGTTTAGAACAGAAAGGTCAAAGAAAAGTCATTTTCTGCATCTTGTTCTGGGTTTAGTTCAGAGTGATAACCAGGCATCATGAATAGGATAGTCAACCAGTGGTATTTTTCATGTTTCTCGTATGCACGACTATCGAATCACCTCAACAAGTGGGTTCTTGCTCCAAAGGTGATTATTTCAGTTCAGCATAAAATACAGTGGGCAGTCAAAGGCAGGCGTAGGACAGTTGTGGACCTCTAATGGACCATTGGTGTGCAAACACGAGCAGTGTACATATGCTAGTTGACCTTGGCACAGGATTCATGCATTTATAAACTAAAGACTCCAGGCTCTAGGTGAATACTGACAGGTTCAGTATCCAAACAAACTTTGTAGGCATTCTGGGAAACTACAAGATTTCCTCAAATATCCAACCCCTGCAATAGCCAAACTGCAATGAGAGAAAAAAAAATCAGGCTTTTAGCTATGCATTGCATGTGGAAGAGGCAGGGGTGCAGGGAGTGCCCTAGAGCGGAGGTTTTGCACTACCTGTCTTACAGATGGAGGGAGCCTACTAAAGTGTGGACTAAGGAAAATATTACTCATTTTTCTTCAACCCCCCAAGCAGAACTACAACCTCCCATTCCCAATGACCTCTGTCATTGAAGAATGTAAACACACAATATTTTGTGCTCAACGCAAAACCCATGTGACCGTAATACTGCTACAACAAAAAACATTTTCTTGCGTTACTGGTTCTAACCTGGCTTAGAATATTTTAAAAATGTGTAAATAAGCATACAGGAAATAACTTTCTTTTACCTGATGATGGGAAAGCAATGTGTCACTGATAAGTATGCGGAAAAAATAGCCTATTTCTCTCCACTGCCTATTGGCACTGACTTACTGGGCCTAATGGTTAATATGGCCCTGGTTGGAAGAGCACTGTTTTGCTCACCCTAAATTTGACATGTTCATGAAGCATTGGCCAACATTTCAAATATGACAAAATAGTAACTCCACTACAGCAGCTCATGGACCTTAGGAGTCATATCTTGTCTCTGCTAGTGATGGGCCGAGTGTTCGATTCGAACATGAGTTCGAATCGAACATCGGCAATTCGAGCACT